GGCTTTGGGTCCTAAAACTAACCCCTAACGGGAGTAGGTGGTCTGGTGGGGCTCCCAGTGGCATGGGAGCCTCCAGGAAAATACCAGACCAGTTTCCACTGGGTGGAAGGTGGGTCAGGGTACCTCAATAACCCCTGGCCCCCATATCACTGTGGCTAGCAGTTGGGGCCGGGCATGGCTACGGCCACCTGAGCCCCCACTGGGGAGGGAAGCCCTGTAGCCCCAGTGAGGGGACAGATGTGGAGCCCCAGTGAGGGGAAACCAGAGGGCTGGGAGCTTGGTTTGTGTGCGTGAGTTTGTACAGGGTTGCCCTGGAAGGGGCCAAGGCAAGCTTGGCCCCGGTCAGGTAACTGGCTGGCCACTACCCTGGTGAGGGCTATGGGAGAGGCCCAAAAGACGGTATGTCTGCCACCCAAGGTATGCACTAGATAAAGCCTATGGTCAAAGGGGCCCACTCTGAGAGGGAGCAAGGCAGTATAAGTTGTCAATGTGTGAAAGAGACCCTGTGAGAGGGGGTGAAGCATGAGAGGCCCTAGTGAGAGGAAGGCAGTATGAATGTGTGTGTGTCTGAGGCCTGACAATGAGAGCTAGGCTTGGTCCGGCTGTAGGCCAGGAGCATTGTGTCACCTTGATGCCATCTGCAAGGCTTGGGCTGTGGTGTAGGGGAAGAACGGAGCCGCAGATAGCGCCCCCTGGCATCAGGGCAAGAATGGGCTGCTTCCTGCCTAATAAGAACCAATTATGAAACAAGGCGTGGCAGGAGATTGAGGTGGGCAGTTAGCCCAGGAATAGGTGGGTGGGCCAACATCGAACCGGCCCCAAGAGCGCCCCCTGTTACAAACAGTGATCCCAATCAACGAATCGAATCACTGTCCCTGATTCAGGCCAAATCCGAATCAAATAGGGCCTGCTTCTCACACCTCTAGTTAATGCACTTTATTTATATAGAACCGTGGGGAATTAGTTAGGAGGAAGGCACATCATTTTCCAGTTAGCTGGGGCAGGAGAAGTAAATGACAGACCTCTCGGTAAGACAAGAGAGAACACACGCAGCTGACACAGCAAGGAGAACTGTTGTGGGAAGAGTAGAGAGAAGAGATCAGACGGGGAGAAAGTGGTGGAAGGTAAAGGGGTTTGCAAAGGCCAGGAGGAGCGATATGCAGAGGATAGACCGCTGGTGGAATCCGTGGAATTCTTTCAGGCTGAGTAAAGGTAGCTATATCTTCAGGTGAGAAAAAAGTTCGTGAATAACCTCCCACTCCTTTTTCTGCTTTGAAATGGCAACTACTGGACAATCACACCTACACCCACAGATCCATACAATTAGGTGAGAATTAAAGATGTTTCATGTAAGATTTCCTGGTTTTGATGGAGCCAAATATGACTCAGCTTCAATAAGAACTTCAGCTGACACCAGGAAACGCAGAACCCAGAGTATGGTGTTAATGGAAGACTGTAATAAAATGTGTAATTCTCATTGTATTCATTTTTAATGCATTGCATCTGGCATATACATGGGGAGGGAGTATATGAGTTTGCAAAAAGACAGACCAATGCAAGATGTGCAGGTTCCCAAATGGAGTCAGAGTGCTTATGAACTACAGAAACCTATTTGAACATTTTTTGAGTGAAAACCTTCTAAAATCATGGACTGTTTTTCTTTGTTCTGAGCAAACACAAGATTCATCTGTTAATGAAGTGAAACAGAGAGGTGTAGATATTCATTATTCAGTAGAATCAAATGTTTAAAAAAAATCCAAATCTTTACATACAAAGCTTTGATATATTGCCATTAATTGTATTTATGAGTTTGAAATGAAAATTCTTCATTGGTAACTGATTGAGTATCTTTGCCATAGATCTTCCACCTGCATGCACTGGAATCATAACACTGTCTGAGACATCACAGCCATCTTTGTAAAATATGATGTTAAGGAAGACTGAGTTCATTGTGCTATACTTATGTAAATGTCTTTCTTTTAATGGTCTCAGGGGAGAGGGGATGCCAACAAAGATTCTCAACCGGAGCATGTATTAATTGTCACCACCTTTCACAAGCTAGTGAAGTGCATCCATACAAAGGAAGAACATTAATAATCAATGAGCTTTAAGTAGCTAGAGTGCAGACATTTTGATTGGGGGAGGGGAACAGGGGGAGGAGACTCCTGCAAAGTTGTAATAGTCTTAATGCAGTATCTAGCAAAAGAGCAGAAATCAGATCCTGCCCATCACTAACTCCCTGGACTGAACTGGAATCATAGCAGATTTTCTCCACTGTAAGTGAGGTTAGACTGTAGCCCATGTTGTTTAGAATCATATATATCCTGACAGTGAAATCTAAGATTTGAGCTCAGAATAGCAACTGCCATCACTCAAAGCTCTTGCATGTGTTAAAAGGATTGCCAGTCTCAAAAGCAGGGGGGGAGGGAGGGGGCAGTTTGCCACAGAGCACTATTTATATATATATATATATATATATATATATAAAGATAAATCAAACAATGAAGCTGTTCCAGCTTGGGTGTGTGTGTGTCCATGTGTGTGTATGTAAAGAACCTCTGAGCTTCCAGGGTCCAGATAAGAAACCCCAAACTGTAAATAAATGATTGGATTAAGAGCTTTTATACATGAATTATTTAGACAGAATCCTAGCCCGCTAGGAAGTGTCTGTGCCGGAAATGATACATTCCTTTGGCACCCATGGTGTGAGAACTCGAGTAGGTGACCTACACTTCCTGAATTGATGCCCTTCTAAATAGGAAGTAATTGGAAATGTCCTATGGTCTAAACATTGTGAAAATAAAAAGGGGGGTCAATAAACACAGGCTAAATTCTACGAGACAAGGAATACAAATCAGTATCTCGGAGCTCCTGCATAAGCTGCCTTAGGGAAAG